TTTCAATAAAGAAGGAGACTTGATCAGACCCTCTGTCTTGTCTCCATTCTTCAAGTTTCTTGCCCCTCCATCCCCATTTTCTCTCTTGCTAGACCCTGACCTGCGGACCGGAGCAGCAGCTTGGGCCAGGGCAAAGTGACCCCGCAAACGTGGGGCAGAACGGACTGGGACACTTTGGAATAAAATTGTATTTAGAGTTTTAAAAATGCAGACCTGGGGATGCAGCTCAGTTGGATAGTGCTTACCCTGCATGCACAAGGTCCTGAGTTCAAACCTCAGCATCACAAAGGCCAAGAATGCACACCTGCAATTCTATATGTGGACATAGCGGCAGGAGGAACAGAAGTTAAAGGTCATCTTTAGTTATTTATGACCAGCCTGTGCTATGTGAGACCTTGAATGAACAAACAAATAAACAAATCGTTGGTATAAAACCCTAAACAATCTTTTTACTTATATTTTGCAGAAAAACCAAATGTTACACATATATGCCCAGTGATGAATCACCCCTTTTAGAAAGGGATCACATCTGTCAGTTAGAACAGTTTCCTGTCTGTTTATGTTTTCCCCATTGCCCGTTTCCAAAGCTGAGATATGTGTTCAAAGGAAACTCATTTCCCGAAGTTCCAAAAGGCAGAAGGAACAAATGGGTATTAGCATATCAAGGCACATGCTGGCCTCCAGGCTCCTTCAGTATCCTAAGAACCTGTTATACATTTCAAAGCCTATGCTAGTATCTGGACTCTTCTCACATCTTCCCCTTCCCTAAACTCCCCTAGCTCACAGACTTCCTTCCCCTGCATTCTCCTTATAGTCCTGCTATTTTTGGTATATCCCACTCTTCCTCCCTTCCCCCTCTTGCTCCTTCCTTCCTCCCTCTCTCTGTACCCCAAGAGTCAGTATTAAGAGTCAGTTTTGAGATTGATACACAATTGCTTGTGTATTGACAGTTGGATCCTTCTCAGAGACGGCAGATGTGGCCACCTGTTTGAATAGTAGACACTTCCTCTTCCATCTTACAAAGAGATGCGGGGCTATAGCTCCCTTCGCTTTTTACTTTCACTTCTCAAGCTGATGCACTGACACCCCTGCAAAATTTCCCTCAGTTCCCTATAATCTGAATTGACTTGGGAAAAAGAAACATCCAATTGAGATGCAACCACATTTACTCAAACTTTAGGAAATTAACAGCTATTTTTAGAATTCTTATTAAAGAGAATGGTGACTACATGAAGAATTATGGTTACTTTTCGTGATCATCTGTAGTTAGTATGAAAACTTTCAGACTTACATCATTGACTCATTCAGGCTTGATTCAATGATATTGTCCTACTTTCCCATTGCGGTGATAAAATAAATATCCCGATAAGTAACAACTTTGTTTTCCATTGTGGAAGGGAGACATAGCAAAAGGCAAGAAAGGCTTGGTGTCAGCACCACAAGGCCAGCTGGTCATAGAGCATCTACACTCAGGAGATAGGGAATGAACAGGAAGCAAGGCTGGGATATAAAGTCTCAAGACCCGATCCCAGTGACTCACTTCACCCAGCAAGGGTATACTTCCTAAAAGTTCCACAGCATCACCAGATGGAGACCAAGTACTCAAACAGGTGAACCTATAGGGGCCAGTTCACCTTCAAACCATAGCAGATGCTTTTAACACATGACTGGCCCTCCCTCTATCCTTCCCTCTTTCCCTCCCTTCCTCTTTTCTTCTCTATATTCATGCATTAAATGTCTTATTTTGGGTACATCTCAAATTAAATAGAAAATATATGTCTTCTTAAGACATATATTTTATCTATACTTCATTTTACAGGACTCCTTTTCTATATAAAAAACCACAGAACAAAATTTACAAACCTTTAATATATATTATATTTGAAAATTTCATTTTACCAGTGTAACTCAAGACCTTTCAGTATCTATCCTGTGTCAGTACTGCACAAAGTGAGCTCACCCTCTTCCTGGTCAATATGCTATCATCATGAGTTGATCTGACTATAGCCCATGCTGTGTGTGCTCTTCGTGTCTGCCTTATTCTGCTCTGCAGTGTGGTTATGCAGTCCCATTTCTAAGCAGGACAGTAGCCATTCATTTCCACTTGTGGCTCTAAGTCTTGCCCATTGAATGCTTATCTCTGTTGAGCTGCAACAGTCTTGAAGATTGTTTAGAATGAGTGTGCTGATTTGGGGAGTACATATGGACAAGTCAAGAGCAACCGTGAAGGGCATTATCAGTCACTGAAACTTACTCATGGGAACTGTCTTCATTCATCATTTCAGAGTATTAAAGCATTAGCATGAAACTGAGAAATGTCCCACACAATTCACATCTATTCATCTCTCTCTTGGCTTTCTTTTTTTTTATGGTGAAAAAAAAGTGTCTATTTAGAATGAGTCATCTGGACTCAGTTTAGATGATCCCCATCTTGTTGGCAACATCCAGAGCATCATCATCAGGAGCCAAGCGGACATATGCCTTCTTCTCTCTGTCAGGCCTTATGAAGGTATTGACTTTGGCCACATCAATGTCATAGAGTTTCTTCACGGCCTGTTTGATCTGGTGCTTGTTGGCCTTGACATCCACAATGAACACAAATGTGTTGTTGTCCTCTATTTTCTTCGTGGCTGACTCAGTGGTCAGTGGGAATTTGATGATAGCATAGTGGTCAAGCTTGTTTCTCCTTGGTGCACTTTTCCGAGGATATTTTGGCTGCCTCCGGAGCCGCAGTGTCTTGGGTCGCCGGAAGGTGGGTGACGTTCGGATCTTTTTCTTTTTGTGGCTGTGGACGCCTTTCAGCACTGCCTTCTTAGCTTTCAAGGCCTTCGCTTTGGCTTCGGCTTTGGGAAGGGCAGGAGCTTCCTTCTTCGCTTTCGGCGCCATCTTGGCGAAAAGCTCTCTTGGCTTTCTTTAAGGACTGAGATTCAAGGATGTGATTACTTTGGAACAAGGTCATCTCCCTGCATATATTTTGAATGTTTACCAATCTTTAAATGATAAGAATAACCTAGTCTAAGTGACTCAGAGTAGTTGTTATCCAGTGTTGGATCCAACAGCAGGTAGGACCATGATGTGCTAGAACTTGATTCAGTCAGGCATGAAGTGGAAATTTCTGGTTTCCTTGGAGATTCAGTTGTGTCATGTGGTATTTTTTCTGGAAACTGTTTTACAAGAGGATGTTTTTTGCTGACACAGACATGTGGGAGGATGTTTTGCTAAGAAGAGACACATGGTGTTTTTCTGGCGGCAACCTGGAAAAAGGGCATGTTTTGCTAGAGTGAATGTCTGTGAGAACACGTGATGTTTGGAAAGGATAGAAATATAGCCCAGTGGACAGTGGATGATGCTGGATGGTATTGATACACTTTGCCATTTTTTTTGCTGGTCGTTGTTGGGCTTTGTTGATGCTGATCTTCGCTGACTATGCCGGGTGGTATTGGCATGCCTTACCATTCTTCATTGGTCATCCTTTGTTATGACTTCATAGAGAGAAATGTACAACAACAACAAAAAAACTTCTGGTGATGTTTCAGCAGCTTCTTGCCACTTCTGAGGACTCAGGCTGCTAGGCAGAGCCTTGTGATTTCTTCTGGATTAGATGGACCTACTGTTGTGAATGGTGTTTGCAAGTGGATTGAGCTACCACTGCTGATTCATGTGAAACTTTGTTTATAGTCCAGATTCTATGGCTGGAGGGGAGGCAGAGCCAGTGTTCTTAATTGCAACCCAGCCCCTCTGTTTGTCACTTACACGGTTAGTCGTTACTATAATGATGACAATATCATCTGATACTTCTGATAGTATTATTGGGAATGGAGAGTGCCACTGTGCTCCTTTGTGCAGGGTCCTAGGACACACTTTTATCTTGACTTTTAAATCCCCCTAAAACAAAAGCCATATCTATTACTGTACTCTCAACCTGATCATGTGAACCTTTCCACAAGGACCATTCTAATTAGACACTCTCTGGCTTCTTGGGATCCAGCCATAGCCCTCCAGAATCCCCTGCAAAGTGATCAATGCCCAGCATTATATTTAGAATCCACAAAACACCACCTTCAGTAAGAGTTTAAAGGGGGCAGGTCATATGAGAGATCATGTCATATATGGGGCTATGAAGGTATTCCCAAGTAAAGCTGAGCCTAACATGTGTTCTGCTTGGCTCTGTGCTTGCTGAATTCATATATTCCATTGAGTATGTATCTATCCAAGAATCAGGTAGATGTTAAAGGGATTTCTCAATAATGACTTCCCTCCAAGGTAGGACAAAAGAGAGTATACTTTTTCCCACAACCTTACTGACCAAGAGCATTGCTGTTTCTGCTTTTTCTAGCCTAGAGTTATACCAGATGGTCCTACCTTAGACTTCAAAGACATGAGTGATAGAGAATTCACAGAACTCAAGACCAGTGTGCAAAAAGGTCTTTGGGTCCCTACAGGAGGTTATAGTGAGAAATGAAGGGCTATCTGTAGAGGAATCTTGGTTGAAGAGTTCTGGGCCTTGGCAGTGAGTGGAATCCTGGGGGATCGCGTTCTTGTCCTTGGGAAAGGAATACATATGGGTCCCCTGTGGAGGAAAGCCTCCATGGAATTAAGGCTCTGAGATTCCTGGGTAGGGATAGATGATACTTCCTGGGTTCCTGGAGGCTGGGTCTCTCATTCACTCATGGTAGATTTAAGTTAGGGCACAGCAGTAGCAGCAGCATTAGTGGAGGCAGGGCAGAAAAGACAGTGAACTCAGGCAAAGCAGGAAGGACAGGATGGTGTTGGGTTGCCACTAAGCCACAGCTGAGTTCAGTGGACTTGCTGTCTAGCCTAATCTCTTGAAGGATCTGGGCAGTCTCTTTTCTGCACCCCTGTCTCCTGGCTGTTGAATGCATGCTCAGGGCTTCTTCAGAAACTGCTGTCAAAATGGAGAGTCTGACCCTGGAGTATCTCAAATTGACAACTAGGGATGATTATGGAAGGCAGACATTCATCCACAGAATGACACAGGGTGCTTTTTCAAATCAGTGTTTTTATTGCCCACAAACAGCCTGGAAGTGCACTGTGGACTTCCAGGAAGGTTAGCAACTGAATTAAAAAAAAAAAAAAGCAAAAATGTTGAGGTCTTGGTTCTCTCTTCCACACTTACCCTTCCTGCATTCCATCCTCACCCCACCTCATCCCACCCCCAAAAGCCAAGGATTCAGGACACAGGATGCTCTGGGTTGATTGCCGTTCATTTCTGACCGAACTCCTTCTTTCGAAGATCCTTCCTTTTGACCTTGCCAGTGATGGTTTTGGGCAATTCTGAAACAAACTCCACCTAGTAGAGAAGTGATCCTGAGTTAGGCTTCCATGTTTTCCATCCAGTTCCCCACTCCCTGCATCACCCACTCAGGCTTCACTCACTTTCCTACACAGGCTGACACCCGTGGTGACCCCCATGGGCTCCACTGAGCTTTGCAGATCTCTCCTGACCCCTGGAGGAGGGTGTGGTCATGTATCTTACCTTGACCCTGGAAGCAAAATGTGTCCTCTTCACACAGAAGAGTTTGGAGCCACTAATACTGGCCACCACTATGTTCTCTATCTCTTACAGGGCAAGGGAGGTGCCTCTGTGGCATCCCCACTGCAGGATGAGGGATATGGGGCAGACGTAAAAGATCCAGATAGACATGTGAGAGACCTTCATGGTTATCAGCCTCCATTGTTTGGGGCATTGTACTACATAGTACATATGTATCTCTCTCTGATGGGAAGTAAGGTTTTCTGCTCCCTATAAGGGCAAGAGCCTTGACTAATACAAAAGGCTGATATGTTGTTGTCACACATCCTTTTGTGTTTCAACCCTCCTCTTTCTGAGTGAGACCTCAGGCAATTTGAGTCTCAGCTTCATCTCTATAAAACAGCCATATATGTTCTTAGACTGTGGGCAGGCTTAAATAACAGGACATAGGGCTAGAGCCTAGAACACACAGTAAGTATTCTAGTACACAATACATGTTAGCTCTGCAGCTTCCTAACATGTGTGCCTCGATGAACATGCAGGTGATATAAGAATGTGCTACAATAGAAGAAAATAAGGGCTTTCAGACATGAATGTCTGTGCTCTCTTATTTCAAACCAGCAGGGAAATGCCAGGCATATTCCTTCATAGCTTGCTTTCTCTCTTAATATACTGATAAGGGATTTTATGTCAAAAATAAAATAATCTGAAA